ATGGAGCACTGGGTGTTATGCACAAACAATGAATCATGGAACACTACATCTAAAACTAATGATGTAATGTATAGTGATTAACATAACAATAAAAATTAAAACAAACAAACAAAATATATGAAAAATGTTTTCAGGCACTGGATATTAAGTTCCACAGGACAGTGGTCTCTGAAAGACAAGAAGAAACAAGGTGAGCCCTAAACTGATTACTCCAGTTTACTGCCTGGAGAGAGTTTCCAACCTAGAACACCAGGGCATCTAAGCATTGCTTAGTAGTCTTAAGTTGAGCAGATGGAGATGGGAGGACAGGGGAGGTAAGGCAAGGAGAATTCTCAGGATAAAGCTCCAGAAAAAGGAGAACTGTTATGGAGATTTCAGAAGACACTCCTGAGTCTTCGGCTGAGTAGGCTGGGGAAAAAAACACCTGAAGGCTAATCCCCAGGGTTCACATAGGACTGGGAATAGTTTGTGCTTTCAACAGCCAGAGTAGAAAATCCTTATAATTCACAGGGCATCAGATAGTGTACTCAAAACTGTATTAATCCTATGTTGGGAAAGAGATTAGTCCTAAAGACTTTCCTGATCCCACCTAACAGATGTTGAAAATAAACTTCAAAAAGGATCAAGTTGTTTCCAAGTAGCTTAACTGAGCCTGAGAAAAAAATTAAGAATACAGGACTACAAAATATCCAGCAATAAATAAGGTCAAATTCATTATGTCGGCATACAATAAATGTCACCAGGCATGCAGAGAAGCAGGAAGATATGAACCATCATGAGGAGAAAAATTAATGGAAGAAACAGATCTAGAGAGAATGCAAATGGAACATTAGTACACAAGGGCATCAAAATTTATTATATTTTATGTGTTCAAAAGGGAAAGAAACAATTTGAGTGTGTTGAGAAAAATTCAAATATATAGAAAAAGTTTTAAAATTTCTAGATATGAAAACTACAATATCTGAGATTAAAATAGAATAGATAGGATTATTAGCACATTAAACCTTACAAAAGACAAAAGACATAGTAATTGAAATTATGCAAAATGAAGCATGGAGAGAAAAACTGAAAAAGCATGACCAGTATATCGGTGTACTGTGGGCAACTTCAAGCAGCCTAATACGTGCAAAATTGAAATCTTTGTAAGAGGAGAGAAACAGGAAGAAATGAAAAAATATTTGAAGAAATTATTGCCCAAATTCACCAAATTTGATGAAAAATATAACCATAATTTGATTGTGATATACCTTGGTGTATTTTCTCTTTCTTGTATTTGGGGTTTATGAGCTTCTGAAACTGTGGATTATATGACACAGGAGTGAAAGAGGACAACTGCAGGAGCAATTTCAGAGAGGAAATGAGCTCCAGTGCCTCAGGATGGGTTGCCTTAGACGGAAGCACTGGTAGACCTTTCATACAACAGGAGGAAAAGTAGAGGATAGTAATTCACTACAGATAAGATAGTAGGTTATTGGAGGGGCAGCATGGAATTTTCTCCTCTTTGGTCCTACTATTTCATATTACATAGGAAGCAAAAATCTCAGCTTACTGTGAAGATGGGAAAGAGGATATTGGGCTTTTGAGGAGGAAAGAAGGTAGGAAATATTGTTGGGGGACGGGAGGGGGAGGACAAGAGTGAGCAGGCTAGGGAAATGTAGTTGGATTAGCAGGAAGTTCTGAGAACACACTACGGTTTGTGTTTACATATGTAAGTCAGGTTAGTGCAATATTTTTCTCCTGCCATATTCACCTTTCCACAAAAAAAAAAAAAAAAAAAAAAAAACAGAAAAAGACATCAGAAGAAAAGAAAATAGGCCCATATCCCTGAGGAACATAGATGCAAATATTCTCGACAAAATATTAGCAAGCCAGATTTAACAATACATTAAAAGGATCATATAACATGAGCAAGTGGAATTTATTCCTGGGGTGCAAGGATGGTTCAACATAAGGAAAATGAATGTGATACACCACATTAACAAAATGAAGGATAAAAATCAGATAATCATCTCAATAGATGCAGGGAAAGCACTTGACAAAATTCAACAACTATTTATGATTAAAACTCTCAACAAAGTAGGTATAGAAGGAATGTATCTCAAAATAATAAAGGCCATATATGACAAACCAAAGCTAACATTACACTCAATGGTGAAAATCTGAAAGCTCTTCCTCAAAGACTGGGAGTAAGACAAGGATGCCCACTCTTACTACTTGTTTTCAACATAGTGCTGGAAGTCATACACAAGACAATTAGGCAAGAAAACAAAATAAAAGACATCAAAATCAGAAAAGAAGAAGTAAAACTGGTCATTATTTGCAGATAACATGATATTATATATAGAAAACCCTAAAAAGTCCACCAAAAAAAACCCTGTTAGAATACACAAATTCAATAAAGTTGTAGGATATAAAATCGATATACAAAAATCTATTCTATATCTATACACTTATAATGAACTATCACCAAGGTAAATTAAGAACACAATCTGATTTACAATTGCATCAAAAAGAATATAATACCCAGGAATAACTGTCACAAGGAGTTGAAAGCCCTGTACATTGCAAGTGTAAGTCACTCATGAAAGAATCTACAGACACAAATAAATGGAAAGATACCACACTCATGGATTGAAAGGATATTATTAAAATATCCATAAGTAATATAGAGATTCAATACAATTCCTATTTTGCCCAGTGGCATTTTTCACAGAAATAAAACAATCCTAAAATTTGTATGAAACTACAAAAGACCGCACATAATCAAAGCAATCCTGAGAAAGAAGAACAAAGCTAGAGGCATTACACTCCCTGATAATTAAAACAGTATAGTTTTGGCATAAAGAGACACATAAATCAATAGAACAGAATAGATAGCCCAGAAAGAAACCAACACATATATGGTCAATTTATGACAAAGAAGCCAAGAATATACAATGGAGGTAGGACAGTCTCTTCAATAATGGTGTTGAGAAAACTGGATAGCCACATGCAAAAGAATAAAAGCTGGACTACTATCATATATCATATGCAAAAATTATCCCAAAATGGACTAAAGACTTGAATGTAAGGTCTGAAACCATAAAACTCCCAGCAGAAAACATAAGGTGATAAGTTCCCTGACATTGGTCTTGGAAATGATTTTTGGATTTTACATGGAAAGCAAAGGCAACAAAAGCAAAAACAAGTGAAACTACATCAAACTAAAAGGCTTCTGCACAGCAAAAAAAAAAAAAAACCCACAAAAAACAAAAACAAAATGAAAAGGCCACCTAGAGATTAGGAGAAAATATTTCCAAGCTATATACCTAATAAAGAGTTAATATCCAATATATAACGAACTCATGCAACTCAATAGCAAAAGAAGAATTCAATTTAAAAATGGGCAGAAAATCTGAACTGACATTTTTCCAAAGAAGACATACAGATGGCCAACAGGTACTTGAAAAGATGCTCAACATCACTAATCATCAAGGAAATACAAATCAAGCCATAATGAGATATCACGTCACACCTATTAGAATGGCTATTGTCAAAAAATCAAAAATGGAGGGGCACCTGGGTGGCTCAGTTGGTTGAGCAACTGCCTTCGGCTCAGGTCATGATCCCGGAGTCCCGGGATCGAGTCCCGCATCAGGCTCCCTGCTCAGCGGGGAGTCTGCT